TGTGTGTGTGTGCGTGCACGTGCATGTGTGTGTGTGCGTGTGTGTGTACCTGTTGGGAGGCAATAACATTCAGCATAATTGGAGGCTAACATGACAGTCCTGTTCAATACACCTCAGTTGTTTAATTTCTGGTGCGTTCATTAATGCACTGTCTTTCACGCTGTGCTTCGTGCACACACTCCTCACACACATACTCACCTCTGCTGTCACTTCTCTTTTGAACTTTCGCTCATCGGATCACACTTCCTGGACACAGTCACTGGCAAACACACACACACACACACACACACACACACACATTGGTCATGTCTGTGGCTGTTTAGGATGAGTTGTCAGCAGAGCTGGATTCAGATATGATAAAAGAAAATGTGACACTCATCCTGATGTTGAGGCATTTTTCTGGTTGGATCTTTTTGTTGTTACAAACTAAACAAATTCTAGTTGGACTTTTTTCGGGTCAAAAAAAAGAAGAATTTATTGTTCATTTCTTTAAAAAATCAAAAGCTAAAGTAAATGTTAGGATTCTTTTTCTCTACAGATGCCTGAAGTTTAGCCCCTAAAGTGTCAGTAACTGGATAATTTTCAATTAGCTTAAGTCTGTCATCACTTCTCTTGCCCTTCCTCGTTTCCCATGTAAGCATGTCTCATTTGACCCAAACACCCAACAGGACAGAATTTAGCAAAAGACAATGTACCCCAAATGTAGTCATACAAGTAATGTCTGAAATACACACATAGGCGGAAAAATAACAACAAAAGGCAAAAACAATAAAACAACAGAAAAACTCTCAAGCTGAGTTCAAAAAGCTTTACTTTAAATTGACTGCACAGAAAAACCTTGTCCATGATTTCCAGCTCATAAACACAGCTAATAGTGAGCTGGACGAGTCAAGTCTGGAGCATGGTCTGGAGTGGTGATGAGACGCTCATGAACAAATCAAATCTTTTGAATGGGTTTTCAAAGTAAAGGATGAGAACTGAGTCTTTGTAAATAACCGTTCACCTTGGGTGTTTCTCAATGCCAAGGAACCTTGCCTTGATGCCTTGGCCCCACTCCAGTTGCCTAGGAGATACGTCATCGGGAGCTGCCTAGACGTGTTCCAATGTTCATGTTCTACTGAGGCGTGTGTTCTCCGTTTGTTAGCCGTTTAGCTAGCTGAGCAGGGATACATGGGAGGTGTCTTGTAGCCTAGCCTTGGTCAAAAATTTCCCAGAATACAACGCGGTATTTTCAAAAGGACGGCGGATCAGAAGCTGACAGCTAATTCGGGGACAATTTTCAAGTTTAACAGTAAGTCAACTAATTTAAAATGTTTTTTTAGATCCAAAGAAGTTTTCTATGGTTGATTAGTTGCATAGTAGTAGCAGCTTTGGTGGCTAGCGGGTAGTAACTCACTTTTTTAAATTTAATAAACATATACACAATTGAAAAAGTTAAAGTCTCGTAATATATTTATATTGAAACTAATACGTATAAAATATAACGTTATCTCCCGTGTCACGTGACGTTACATGACCGCCGTAAGCTGCGGTCATGTGATGCAAGTCTGTTCCCTTTAACCGTTTTCTTTGACCAAGGAAGGATAGTGTCTTCTTAAGCAAGGCGCCTGGCCTCGCAAGACATCGCCTCACAAGGCAAGGTGCCTTGACATTGAGAAACACCCCTTGCCTTCCAGTAACCCACCCCCCTTCAAAAGACTGACCGTTTTGAACGCTTCTTTGAAGTAGGGTTAGGGTTAGCTGGTCAGCTCTATAAATATCTCAAGCTACTTTTTTTCTTACCAACAACTCGATATTACAGTTAAAGGTTTTTTATCTATTTATCAACTTACTCTGTATGATTCATCTTCACTTGACTTCTATAATGTTTTTTGTGACATCTACAATCTTTTGGCACTGAGCTGTAGCTGGCAACAGCCATAGCTCACAGAGAGGTAGTGAGATTCACTCTTTGTTTAGAAAAATCGGCTGCAGTACCCAAAATTGACCAAAGGAGGTCATTCTTACTTTAACTCATTCACTGCCAGCCATTTCCTGATTGCCCTTCGCTGCCAGCGTTTCTCAGCGTTTGTACTGTTTTTTAAGAGTCACAGAATGTTGCGCGCTAGGATGATGTTGACGCCAAAACAAGCTAAACAAAGAGGAGACTCGCCACTTACATCAGGAAGAATCCGCGCGCTTCTGTCGTTATCCGTTCTTTCATATTCCGTTGCCGAACTGTGATCAGCAGAAGCTTTCCGGTTCGCTTCTCACTTTTTTTACAGCAGCGGCCCAAAACGATCTCCTAACACATGGATTTTCTGCTTCTGATCACGTGACGTGTGACGTACGTGGATGACAATCGGCTTTAGAGCTATGATGTTTGTTCTCACGGTGCGGGGGCTCGTTCCGACGCCCGCACAGTAAAAATAATGCAAATGACGACTTTAGTCATCAATGGCAGTGAATGAGTTAACAACACACACTTTTAAAGATGCTGATTAATTCAATTCAATTCAATTTTATTTATATAGCGCCAAATCACGACGAGTCATCTCAAGGCACTTCACATAACACTTAACACTTGTGTAACTGAAAATTAAGACTACTGTACATCATTAGTGTGTGATCTTTTTATATGTGGTGACAAACAGGCAGAACAAATGTAGTAAACACTCAGCAGCCAGTTTGTGTCCTCTGGGTCTCCACAGCTATGATTTATAGCCCTGTTCCACCGGACTGGGAGTCCTGCTGTCACCTCTGGATGAATGCTCTTCTCCAATCTAAATCAATTTTTTTAACAAAATTATTTCACAAAAGCATCTAAATTACAAGTCAGCAATGAAATAAACATAGTATGTACCTGGAAAGGAAGGGATGATGGATGGCTATACTGCTGTTTCCACCAGCTACCCCATTTTAGGTCCTGACAGAGCACAGTTACCATTTGTGTCAGACCTGGTAAGGTGTCAGCTCAGCTCCTGTGAGGATGCAAACCCCACATGAATGGAGCGGTTCTCCGTTCATATCCTGGATGACATGAACAAGGCTGAAACCTTTGTACTATCTGTGATCGCCCTGACCTGGATTCTGCAGTCTTCCTCTTCGATTCACTGACAGGGGCCTTCAAATGCCACTCCTATTATTTCACATGCACACACACACACACACACACACACACACACACACACACACACACACACACACACACACACACACACACACACACACACACACACACACACCTAATTCATTGCAGTAAAGGGTAAAGTGCCCAATGAATGGATCCAATGACACTGTTCACTCATATCTACTGTGTGTGTGTGTGTGTGTGTGTGTGTGTGTGTGTGTTTTCATATATCTGCAATTTGTAAGTAGTTCTTGTTTGTTGCTAGGAAACAATTATCCCAACGTGTGTGGGAGGAGCTGTTTAACAAAACCACAACAAGCATTAATTTAAAATTTTAGTTGTACAAAAACATCTAAATACACATAAAATTTCTTTTGGTCTGTTGCTTGTGTAGTAAAACATTAAACACCATAACTTCAGAACTCTATATTACGGATGTGTTATTATAATTTGTTAGATAAAGAGTAAAAAAAGTGTTTTAATGATGTGTTTTTTTCAGCTTTTGACCCAACTTGACCTGAGCAAAGGTGTTTTCAATGCTAAAAGCTTTAAACTCAAACATCTAAAGTAAAATGAAATAGATAACTGAAGCTTGTCAGCTCTGAAAAGGAGACTTAAATTAGATGGTAAATGGCCTGTATTTGATATAGCGCTTTCTTGAGTCCCGAACCCCCCCAAGGCACTTTACAACACAATCAGTCATTCACCCATTCACACACACATTCACACACTGGTGGTGATGAGCCACGATGTAGCCACAGCTGCCCTGGGGCGCACTGACAGGGGCGAGGCTGCCGAGCACTGGCGCCACCGGTCCCTCCGACCACCACCAGATGAAGTCACTAACATCTGAATTGTTTTCTTTAAATATGACATAAACACATTTCTTTGCTTGGATTTGTCAAAACAGAGTTCAACGAAGGACAGAAGACTAACTGGTAAATATTACGCTCAGAGCATCATCCATCTGCAGATCTGATTATCTGCAACAGAAACTCATTCATTTGTTTTTTAATTGTAAACGAGCATTTGTGTTTATGGATTTATTTATTTTATTTTTCTACTGTAACACCATGAGAATTAATATTCGCCTGAGTGGGCCGGACGTTTACAAACACCTCATTTCTTAGCTGCTGAAACGGGCTCTTTGTCTGTTGTTCTGCTCATTGTTCAGAGACAGAATCAAGTTTCTTCCTAAGCAGGCGTGTGCACGCCTGTGTGTGTGTGTGTGTGTGCGCGTGTGTGTGCGTGTGTGTGTGTGTGTGCGTGTGTGTGTGTGTGTGTGTGTGTGTGTGTGTGTGTGTGTGTGTGTGTGTGTGTGTGTGTGTGTGAATTTAGCCAGCAGCGCTGTCTCCCTCTTGTCGTGATCCAGTCATTTACCTGCATTTATTCCTGGAGGAAAATGGACTCATGCCAACACACACACACACACACACACACACACACGCGCGCGCGCACACACACACACACACACACACAGCTGTGTAGCTGTGTACTGGTTAAATGAAGCATGTTGCACATCTGTGTGCACTTTTTGTCTGTTTATGTGCATAAAGTGATCATGCGCATTGTGTGCAGAGCTGTGGGTGTGGCAGGTAAAATCCATAAATCTTTCATATCCAAACAACTGCATAACAGCTGTAAATTATGCAAGATTTTTGTGCAATCGTGAGACTAAAAACAGAAACAGAAAGGCTCTCCTTCCCAAACACACTCGTGCCAGATGATCCCTACCTTAGTCGTTTTAGGAGACATTAGTACAGCGGTGCAGCTTTAGAACAAAGGGGAATGAATGTCTGCAAAGCTGCAATCACAGACAATTATCTCTGTGTTTGATATTTTTAATAATGTTCCTTGGTAACTTATTCATAATATCTGTGAATCGTTTCAGGTGATGAGACATTCAGTGGTCGTGGTCCAGAAACAAAATACGTGTCTCCTACTCCTCGCCTCCCAGCTCCTCCTCATCAACACTCACCTCCTCAGGTAGAGAAAAATAACAACAAGCACAATCAGAACGCCAATCTTTATCTCGGAGGTGCATGGAATCACTCATTTGGCCAGTCGTCATGTGACATTTAGTCATTTCTACATTTAGTTCAGATCCAGTAAACAGAGATGATTGGTCTTTTGACACCCTCATTGATTTTAACTAACTTTGATGCAGCCTATGGGACCAATCTGTGGTTCAATGAAGCACTTTCTGCTTCCTGAGTCTCTGTTTCCCAATACTTTCTGATTACTTTTGATTCGACATTTTTATCAACAAATGACTAATTACTGGGAAGCAACCATGCAGTTTCAGTTCTTCATCTTATAATTTTCTCTACTTGGTATTTATGTACAAATAGCACATTTGCTAACAATCAGCAATCAGAAAACATTCACATTTACTTCTAACTCACGTTTCCCACCAGGTTGCTGTTCAGAGCACAGCTCACATGATGACCTTTGAACCCCTGATGACTCTGCTGCTCCTAACTCTGTCTCCATGGGAAGCACTCTGACCAAGAACGGACCGAAGAGGTTGAAAGACAAACACACGGCGTGTGTTGTGTGATGACATAACGTTTTTGGTGTCTCAGTGAAGTCTTCCGACTGTTTTTGTTTGTGGTGGCCATCCTGATGGGACACGCTGCTGAATTTCCACACCTCCTGGTGCACCGTATCCCCTTTTTTTGTATCACCTATGACTGATATCATGCTTTTATTTGTACTTACCGCTAGATTGCACAGCGTAACTGACTGTTTTGAAGAGATGTAAATAAATATATATAAATTATATATTTATAAGCAAAGGTTCAAACGACTACAACGGCTTCACGTGTACATTAGGAATAAAATACAACAGAAGGATAACTTGGATGAGAGTAAGCGATTGTTTAGATTTTAGATTACACCTTTTTGCCACCAACCCACTACAGTAAAGCTATCATATAGACTTGTTCATGTGCAAACATCAAAACAATAGCAAATGAGAAAATGTTGCTACATAAAACATTAAAGTTTCATGTTTCTGTTCGGGATTGTTGCTGTAGGCTGATGTGAATGCAAAGATGAACATTTCTGATGCATTTTGGGCAGATTTAGCTACAAACTCTCTGCAAATAAAAGTCAAGAGGGACTTGTGTTCAGGGTAGAATGCTTCTTAAAATGGTAAATAGACAGCCATCCTTTAAAACTCATTTACTTTTGCTGTTGTCTATAGTGTGAAAGAATTCTTTGTGCGTCATTTTCATTGGGAAAAAGATCTGGTGCTCCTGTTTCAGGGGGTGGAAGTTAGTGGGAGGAGTGGGGGTGCTTAGATGGTAGGATTAGGAATCATCTGCATGCCCCCTCAACATCTTACCCTCATCTTTGTTTAAAAGTGCGTTTCAGTCCATTGGTCCCAGCGCTCTCTCTATAATTAATGCTTCTCTGGTTTCTGGTCAGGTCCCTGCTTACTTTAAGAATGCTGTAATCCACCCGCTTCTTAAAGAACCGAGTCTCGACCCCTCTCTCCATAGCAGCTTCAGACTCATCTCTAAACTTCCATTCATCTCCAAGATCTTGGAAAAGGTTTTGGCTAAACAACTCACAGCTGCTCTTGATGAACAGAACATCTATGATAGCTTCCAGTCAGGTTTTCGTAGAGCTCATTCTACTGAAACAGCTCTTCTTAGGGTCTCTAATGACCTTCTGACTCACAGTGATGCAGGGGACTGTTCTGTTCTGGTCCTGCTGGACCTGACTGCAGCCTTTGATGCTGTTGACCATCACCTGCTACTGGAGAGGCTGAGAGACTGGGTAGGCCTATCAGGATCTGCTCTGGAGTGGTTCTCCTCTTATCTTTCTGACCGCTCCTTCTCTGTGGCCGTCTCCAAGTTTAGGTCCTCCACCACCTCCCTTACCCATGGTGTCCCACAAGATTCTGTGCTGGGGCCTCTGCTCTTCCTCCTTTATCTGCTTCCTCTTCAGCACATCCTGAGCTCCTTCAAAGGAATCTCCTACCATCTTTATGCAGATGACATCCAACTGTACATCTCCTTTAAGCCCCATGAGATGTCTAAGCTGCAGCTGTTACACTCCTGCTTAGACTCTATCAAAACCTGGATGGCTGGGAGCTTTCTTCAGCTGAATGAAGATAAGACTGAGATCCTCATCTGTGCCCCAGACAAGCTGGTTCCCAAAGTCAGAGACTCTCTTGGTCAGCTTTCTTCTCACACCAAACCCTCTGTCAGGAATATTGATGTGACCTTTGACCCAGCTCTCACCCTGGATTCTCATGTCAGTTCTCTTGTTCGCTCTTCCTTCTTCCATCTCAGGAACGTTGCTAAGCTGAGTCCCATTCTGTCTCGCTTTGAACTTGAGACAGTTCTCCACACCTTCATCTCCTCATGCTTAGACTACTGTAACTCTCTTTTCACGTGTCTGAGCAGAACCTCCCTGAACCGTCTACAGGTGGTTCAGAATGCCTGTGCTCGGCTTCTGACCAAGTCCTCCAAACACACCCACATCACCCCGCTTCTCCTCCAGCTTCACTGGCTGCCAGTCAACTTCAGGGTTATTTTCAAGATCCTGGTTCTGGTCTATAGGGCCTTACATGGACAAGCTCCATCATACATTGGTGATCTCAGTCCCTACACCTCCAGCAGGTCCCTGAGGTCCAGTGACCAAAACCTACTGGTGGTGCAGCACCAGGCTAAAGACCAAAGGTGACAGATCAATTGCTCCTGTGGCCCCCAAACTCTGGACCTCTCTCCCCCTGAGCCTGAGATCAGTGGACTCAGTGGTCTCCTTTAAAAAGCAGCTGAAGACTCACTTGCTCAAGCTGGCTTTTGTATGACCTTCATCACTTCTCCTTATTCTGCTCTTTCTACCAATTCTGCCTTTCCCGGGATCCACTAACTTCCCTCTTTCTCTTTTCCTACGTTTTTAATCTCAATTTTTTTCCTCATTTTAACCATATATTTAATATTTTTATAGGGTTAAGAGTTTTGAATTTTTTGTTCTTGTGAAGCACCTAGTGATTTTTTTCTTTCTTTCTTTCTTTCTTTCTTTCTTTCTTTCTTTCTTTCTTTCTCATTAATATCCATGATATGCAAACGTATCACCTCTGATTGGCTAACGTGACTCTTTCCCTGCCTCATTCTTTTTTCTTGGGTGCAAAATGCAACATTAATGTTTTTTATCCACACATAACAGAAGCCTGAACAAGTTCTGCCATGTTGTAGAGTTGCTAATGCTAACAATGAGATATGCTCTGCTCTTTCCTGGATGCTAAATCAACACAGAATTCTGTTGCCATGAGCCAAAGTGGGCTGGGCCATAAATACTAATCTTTTTGTGATTTAGAAGGAACTTTTTTGCTGAACTGATCCTTCTCTCATCTCTTTTCTTTCTGTGGCTAAAGGCAATGGGGGATGAAGAAAATTTGTGTTAACAATAATAGTATTCCATTAGCTTTAGCTTAGCATAAACAATGTAAGTGAATGGTAACAGCTTGCACTTCAATCATTCTAATTCAAAAAAGCTTCTTCTTCTGTAAACCCAAATGTGTGGCTACCTGGCTTGTACCAGGTACACTTTTTTGGAGTATCCGTATGGTAGCTTGATCTAAAGGCAGTCTACATAACGGAGGAAGTAGGTGGCTTTTGGGACCACCGCGTCATGTCATTGCACCTTTCAGCTGCAGCTTATAGCAGGGCTTTGTCCTAATGTAGTCCCAAGTCTAAATCTGCTCCTGTAATTCCTTACTGTTAATTATTATTTTCATCTGCAGTCAATATGATTATTGAGGTCAACAAGAAAAATTAGACTTTTTCACACAAAATGCTAGCTGTTACTCTTCACTTATATTGCTTATGCTAAGCTAAAGATAACAAAATACTGCCGGATTAGTTAGAATGACTGAGCTGGTTACAAAATGCTTTTTCCCACTCATCTGACTCTGGTCGTATCCCTTTATGCTTTTCCTCTTTTTATTTATTTATTTTTTACTAAAAAACAATGTTTTTTTTAACTACTTTCTGTATCTGAGGAGTCAGGCAAGTGCAGACTGAAGCTCAACCCCCACAGAATTGGACTCTTGTTCTTTCAAGCTGGGTGGGGTCTTTTTATCTTCACGTCAGGTATGATGAAAGTTGAAACTGCTGAACAAAAATATCATTTACTCAGAACAGCTGAGTTTTCTCTAAGGAAAATGGTTTCTTTTTAACAGCAAAACTGTAATTAGAGAAATAAGCGTTTAGAGCTAAGCTTCAGTTGCACTTGCAGCACTGAGTAATTGGGCTCTATATGATTAAAAAGTGAAAAGAAGCTCCGGTAAATACTGTTGACATACTGAAGAGAACGCAACTGATTTAAACACGAGATTTAACTGTAATTTACATCAGGACTATTAAATCCCCCAGACTCTGTTGGGTCTCTAAATAACTGTTTGGTGTTTTCTCCAAATTTTGATTCTTCCTTCTTCATTTTATTCTCCTAGTTTCTGCATCTCAATGCATTGAATGCACTAATTTTGTCTGATGTATAAAAGACAGCATCCTGCTAGTTTTGCAGTCCCACCTACAGTATTGTTTGTGTAAATATGTGGTAATGTTTTGCCAGTGCGTCTCATTAATTCACCTGTCAGTTAATTTATGAAGAACTGCTATCAGATTAGACATGTTGATGATGAACATGATTTAAAGCAACAAAGCCAGTCTCCTTGTTAGTCTGCAAACATTTATTTAAGATCTTCTGATTTATTTGCTAACTGTGAATATTGTTTTTGGACTGGAGTCAACTCCTCCATCATTCTCAGCTTAAACACGTCTCCCTCAGTCCCTGAACAAAACAGATAAATGTAAAAATGTGTGTTTTGTGTTTTTCTCACTGAGATAATGCCACTGTTAGCCACTTAGCTGTTTTGAAGGATGTGTTCACATACAAATCTATATTTTTTCATATATTTTATAGGCTCGTACTTATTTTTTATCAATAGGCTCATGAAATAATGAGCATTTAAGGCTAGTGAAGGTATTGCAGAGGAAATTATCTGGGGGTGACAGCATGAATATTTTAGTGAAAAAGTTGATATTGTGCAGTTGCTAACCTGCTGCAAAGTTAAACGTTTTAGTGATACATTTGCAAAACCATGTTATAGTCTGCACATGATCTCGAGCAACGCTGTTTGTGTTAAATAGTACAGAAACACCTCTCTGATTTTAAAAAAAATGCTGTTTTTATTTTATTTTGCCGCCATGCAGCCACAGCTGTCTTCAGTTTGTGCTTTAAGGCACGCCGGTGTGCCTGGAGTGGGCTGTGCTGTGTCAGTGTCAGATAAAGACTTTTTAAATCTGAACATTTAACAGCTCTTTTAGCTTAGTCATGGTATTTTTCTTTATGTTGCAGCAAGCAGGACATCTGGATGCTACAAACAGCCTGTTTGCCACACTAGTGGGTTTTCTCGCCCCTCTCTCTCTCTCTCTGAAACCAGTGTACTGATGTAAACTAAACCAACGACTCTGATGTGCTGCTTTCTGCTTGTACTACATGGTGCCCTGCAACTCTCTTGTCTCGTTACTCACCAGTTTGATGTACTTATAATAAACAGTTTCCAAGTATGTACTTTACATTTGTTTCATGCACTTTATTGAAGCCTGAGGGCAAGTTGTGGCAGCAGTAGCTCAGGTGGTAGAGCAGGTTGCCTCATGATCGGAGGGTCATGGGTTCGATTCCAGCTCCCGCCAGGGGTATCCTGCTGTTGTGTCCTTGGGCAAGATACTTCACCCAACTTGTCTGTGCTAGTGGTGGTCAGAGGGGCCGACGGTGCCAGATGGCAGCCTCGCCTCTGTCAGACCGCCCCAGGGCGGCTGTGGCTACAAGTAGCTTACCATCACTAGCAATGTGTGAATGTGAGAGTGTGTGAAAGCGTCTTTGGGTGTCTTGAAAAGCGCTATATAAGTTCAATGCATTATTATTATTATTATAAGTTGTGACCTAGGTTTAAGGCAGTTAAACGCCTCCCCAAAATTTTGACAAGGGTGGCGAGACGGGGCCAAAGAAAATTTTGGGGAGGCACATGTATATATATATATATATATATATATATATATATATATGAGTCTTTGGCTGAATGAAATCCTTTCTCCAATAAACTCACGATTGTTTTTACACTGTCTAAGCCTTCTGATTGGTATTTAAGCTATCGCCAGTGTTGAATCTGCAGAGACACACATCAGAGAAGTGACTAAGCATGTGCTGCAACGTTAATCAAAATTTTATGGTTGCTTTAGCTGCAAATTTATGACTAGATGCTTAACCGGCTGAAACCATTATACATACAAAATAAATAC